AATTTGTGGAAATGGTTAGACTGCAACTGGAGTAAATGATTCCCACCACGAAACACTTTGTATCTAATTAACTACGGTTGACTAAATGTTACCTGGCTGCAGGATACTTTTTTTTCTCTCGGCACCAGGATACGGGGCACAGAAAGAAAATTTGTGAAGAAAAAAAATGGTGCACCATCAATAACTCCTTCAGGCACGAATTGTGATGCACTGTCAACGAATGTGCATATATAACTGAGCATAATTTGATGGCGTTCAATGTTACATTACAACAAGGAAAATGAAGCAACACGCTGTTTTGTGCGAGTTCCAGTTATTGTTTGCAATTAGTATGTAAATACATATTTCGTTATTCGGCAGTCAGTCACCTTATATTTTGACGTCAAAATGACATCTTAAGCTCCAAGTGCGTACGAAAATAATTTTTTGTTGTATTCAATTTGAAAAAAGAAAATTAGTACTCTTCACATTGGTCCTGGAGCGTGGCACGTCGAGCGACTCAACGAACGTCGCAGTAACTTCGCCAAGTGATCAGTTACAGTCATGCACAGCATACTGCAGTTATGTCAAGACGTATAGTGACTATGGAGAAGATTCCGTTCATGGAACGAGCTATGCATGTTTTTCTCTATTACCCACAAGTTGAAACAGCTAGCATAATCAAGTTGTGTACGCAAAGGTAGTCACCGCCGCTGAAGAAGGAGACGCTTGGTGGATGTCGTGGCTGATGGTTGTGCCGTCCATGACGTCGCCTCTTCGACGACCGCCCGCCAATCAGGGCCTCATCAGCGGATTTCCTAAACCGTCGGCCATGCTTTTACTTCCCTTTAAATCTTCACTTCTCTTTCCATCGTATTTAATCCCTCCTTATCTCTCCCCTCACGAACCACCACCGAGGTGTCGCACTTCGCCGCACACAGTTGCGGGTTTCAATTCTTCACGTTTTTTCTGACTCTCTCTCTCTCTCTCTCTCTCTCTCTCTCTATTTATGTCTATATTTCTCCCGCTTTCAGTCAGTTCCTCTCTCTCGCTTTGGTCTTTGTCTCTTTTTGCTTCCTTTTTTTTTATAAGTCTTTGTTTATGCATCTTTCTCATTGTGTCTACTCATCTCTCGCCTTCTATCCTTCTGTTTCTTCTCTTCTTTGCTGTCTGTTCCTCTACATTATTTTGTTTTGTTTTTTTCTCTGTATTCCTTCTCTTGTAAACCTTTCTCTCTTCCTGAGCCTCGCATCTTTGCCCCTCAACTTAACTTTCACTAGCGCCCACTTAGCTTTACTATACGTCTAGTGCGCGCCGACTGAAGCGCCATAGGTGGCGAACCTACTCATTACCATAGGGAAATAAGCGGACGGTCGACGTAGTGACACCTACGTCGTTGTACGTGTGCTTCCACATTGCTCAGGAATCCGTAGTAAAATAAGCGGCTTTCATCGTATGTCTGGCAACCAAAACTTCAAATCAATCAAATCTCCTTGTCTTACTCCGTCAGGATGAGTTGCGCTTCGTCCCCTGAGTTACCTTGCAATGCAATGTCATTGGCGAAGCGCAAGTTACTAAGGTACTCTTCATTTACTCTAATACCTATCTGTTCCCGGGCATTCTAGGGCTCTGAAAACCTCCTGTAAGCACGTGGTAAATAGCATTGGGGAGATTGTATCCCCCTGCCTAACCCCCTTCTTGATTGGTACTATGTTGCTTTCTTTATGAAACACTACGGTAGCAGTTGATCCTCTGAAGATTTCTTCAAAGTTGTTTATATATGCTTCGTCGGCGCCCTGATTCCGCAGTGTCTGCATGACTGCTGATATTTTTACTGAATCAAATGCCTTCTCGTAATCTATGAAGACGTTGCATAGTGGTTGGCATATTCTGAGCATTTATCTATTACCTGATTGATAGTATAGATGGGGTCGATTGTTGAGTAGCCTGTTCGAAATACTGCTTGTTCCTTTGCTTGATTGAATTCTAATGTTGCCTTAATTCTATTAGCAATTACCATTGTAAAAAGCTTGTATACTACGGAGAGCAAGCTGATAGGCCTGTGATTTTTCAAGTCCTTGTCCTCTCCTTCTTAAGTATTAGGATGATGTTAGCATTCTTCCAAGATTCTGGTACTCTTCCCGTAAGGAAATACTTCGTAAACAGGGTCGCTAGCTTTTCTAACACAATGTGTCTTTCATCTTTCAGCAGATCTGATGTTACGTGATCCCCACCAGCAGCTTTGCCTCTTTGCATGTTCTCCAAGGCTTTTCTGACTTCTTCTAACATTACTGGTGGGATGTCATCTGGACTACCGCAAGCTCTTATACAATGGTCGTGTTGTCCCGGCTATTGTACAAATATTTGTAAAACTCCTCCGCTAATTTAACTATCCTATCCCACATGCGTACGTCAATTTGTTATAGCATACAGAGCACCAAATGACATTCGACCACATCTGCCTGCCAGAGCCCTATCTTCATTTCACAATGATCTCCACCACGTCCCACCAAAAAAAAGTAAGAAAAAAATTCTACCTGCGCGCCTTAGCGAAGTTCACGTGACTGGTTGGCATGTCAGTTAGAGAAAGAGGAAGCCTCGTTCCCGTCACGCGAGCAGCAACGCAGGAGAAGGAAGAAGAGGAGGCGCTGCTGCAGCGAAGAGTGGGTGTATGCCACAGTAGAAGAACCAGAACGAGTCTTTCCTTTTGGAGCTGACACCATAGTTACCACCCGCGGGCTCGCTCTTCGGAAAGGTGCCCCCTGCAGCGTGAAAACGTCGCGCCATCCGTGTGCGGAAGAGAGGGTGCGATAATCGCGGTTCGTGAAACCCCGGTTTATTCCCTAATCCACTCTTCTCTCTTCTTGTCTCTTAAGGTTATACTACCTTTTTGTATTTATATTGCTCGCTGCGTCATCCTCAGTTTAAGCTGAACACTCTTTGTAAGCTCCACGCTGCTCCGTAGCTAACACCGGCAAGGTGCAGCTGTTATTACCTTGCTTTGAGAGATGTGGCAATCTACCAGTCATGATATGAGAGTGCTTGCCAAATGTGCTCACCCCATTATATTCTTCTAGTTACTTTGATCTCGTGGTCGGCTCCGCGGTTATTACCTGTCCTAAGTAGACATAGGCTTTTACAACTTCAAGCGCATTATACCTATCTCGAAGCGCTGCTCTCTTCCGAGGTTGTTGTACATTAACTTGGTTTTCTGCAGAATACCTTTAGACCTACCTTTCTACTCTCCTTGTCTTACTCCGTCAGGATGAGTTGCGATTCGTCCCCTGAGTTACCTTGCAATGCAATGTCACTGCGAAGCGCAAGTTACTAAGGTACTCTTCATTTACTCTGATACCTATCTGTTTCCCGGCATTCTAGGCCTCTGAAAACCCCTGTAAGCCCGTGGTAAATAGCACTGGGGATATTGTATCCCCCTGCCTTGCCCCCTTCTGATTCATATTATGTTGCTTTCTTTATGAAACACTATAAAAGCAGCTGATCCTCTGTCGATTTCTTCAAGTTTGTTTATATATGCTTCGTCGGCACCCTGATTCCGCAGTGTCTGCATGACTGCTGATATTTTTGCTGAATCAATCCCTTCTCGTAATCTATGAAGACTGTGCATTGGTTGGCATATTCTGAGCATTTATCTATTACTGATTGATAGTATAAATGGGGTCGATTGGTTGAGTAGCCTGTTCGAAATACTGCTTGTTGTTCCTGTGCTTGATTGAATTCTAATGTTGGCCTAATTTCTTATTAGCAATTACCTTTGTAAATAGCTGTTACTATGAAAGCAAGCTGATAGGCCTGTGATTTTCAAGGCCTTGTCCTCTCCTTTCTTACCTATTAGATGATGTTACCATTCTTCCAAGATTCTGGTACTCTTCCCGTCAGGAGACACCTCGTAAACAGGGTTGCTAATTTTTCTAACAAAGTATCTTCATCTTTCAGCAGATCTGATATTACGTGATCCCCACCAGCAGCTTTGCCTCTTTGCATGCTTCCAATGCTTTTCTGATCTTCTCTCATTACTGGTTGGGTGTTATCTGGACAAAACGCTAGTTTTTATACAATGGTCGTGGTTTTTGTCCCCGGCTAATGTACAGATATTTGTAAAACCTCCGCTAATTTACTATCTATCCCACAGCATACGTCAATTTGCGATAGCATACAGAGCACCAAATGACATTCAACCACATCTGCCTGCCAGAGCCCCCTCTCAATTCACAATGATCTGAACCCCCCACCCAAAAAAAAGAAGAAAAGAAAATTCAACCTACACGCCTTGGCGTAGTTCACGTGACTTGTTGGCATGTCAGTTAGAAAAAGAGGAAGCCTTCGTTCCCGTCACGCGAACAGCCACGCAGGAGAAGGAAGAAGAGAGGCGCTGCTGCAGCGAAGTGTGGTGTATGCCACAGTAGAAGAACAAGAACGAGTCTTTCATTTTAGAACCGCGCCGTGGTTACCACCGTGGGCTCGCACTTCGAAAGGGTACCCCCGCAGCGTGGAAAAGGTTCGCGCCATCCGTCTGCGGAAGAGAGGGTGCGAGAATCGCGTGCGTGAAAGACCAGCTACCACCAGCGACATTACGACGCCGCCAAGAAGGCTCCGGACGCCGTGTCTAGCACCAGCAGCGCGACGAGAAACGATGACGATACCGACAACGAGTTAATAAGCGCGTACCGTCGACGTCTCGAGCGACTACGAGAGCGACAACGACGAGACTGGCAAGTGTCTGCAGCGGCGATGAAGTTCGCGATAAGCGCCGCCGCGTTCCACGCAAAGTCGACCGACGCCTCAACAGCCGGTGCCCCTCCTCCGCGCTCAACCTGACTGCGACCCTCCAGCCATCGGCGAGCAAGACGAACCCCTGGCAGCCGAACGTCTGCGGTACGAGGAGACGACGCCGCAGTGCCGGTTGCGGGTCAAGCGCGACATCATGGCCCTCCCAACGACCCGCGCCGGAGTTACGTCGTGCCGGCGGAGCACAATATCACCGTGATGGGACGCGCTGGTGCATGGGCCCCGAATGCACGCCGTACGAGGGCGGTTTTTCACTTCGTGATACAGTGCCCGCCCGACTAACCGATCAAACACCACGCGTTCTTCATGACCACCGGCTACGCTGCGTGCGCTTCAACCCGAACTGTACGAGTGTGGCAAGTGGTTCCCTCAGCATACTGGGCACCTGGACGGGGCCGGCCTGGAGCCCCCTGCGCAGTGCATCGCCGTGTGCTCCTCTCGACCAGCGCTGCTCTGTGAAAACCCGTACCACAACGAGCCGGGCTATGAAACCGAGAGGCGGCCGGGGCTCCAAGCGGTACAACCTCATCGTGCAGCACGAGACAATCCGCGTGGCCGTGCGACGCCATCGAGGCCTGCCTCAACGGATCTCGACTTGTCCAGCTCCCCTGAGGGAGGTCATGCTCAAGACATTCCCGGACACTACTAGACAAGTACGAGGCAGTTGTCGTGTCACACTTTGCTTGAGCAGCGATTGTCGATAGTTGTCGCACGCTTTCACTCGCATACCACACGTTGAACTCACGGGGCGGCGTTATCGATTCGTACCTTATATGTAACCAAATGGTGACGGCTAAAATGCGTCTGGACTGTCCATATTTCTATCGCAATAAAACTAAACGCAGTGCTCGAGGAGGTTGAGGTCAATTCGCTTGCTAGACATTTTGGTTCGGTAGAGCGATTGCTGTGCGTTCTAAAAACGTAATACATGGATAACGTGAAACAACCTAAAGCCTAAATACCCTAATTGGTAATTATGAAATGCGCTATTCTCCATAAGGCTTTTTGATGGGCACAGCGATGCTCTACAATAACGATGTTAACAGAAGTGCTTAGGGTATGCCTACGAATACGCCAAAAAAGTCCAAAAGATAACTTCAATGCATTGTAGGCAAATCTACTTGCATAACATGTATATCTACGGGGCTGGAAGTATAATCATATAGACGTAAGCATTACGTTCATTAAGGTAACGTCCGCCAAAATGAAAAGGAACTGCACGTCCACAAGTTCATTCATCAACTCTAACTTCTTTGATGTAAACTCAGATATATCATAAAAACTAAAAGACAAACACCGACCTTGAAGACACGAGTACGAAAAAGGCGTTTCCGTACACTTCAAATACTTCCACGCAATCAATCTTCTACTTAAATACAAGATAAGGATTCCTAAACGCCCATGAAGTTGCGTATGGTATGGTATGAAAAAAACTTTATTTAGGTCCGTCGGGGCGTGAACTAGCACGTAGCGGGCCGCTCCCACGTCGGGACAAATATGCCAAACCTCTCGGTCATGTCCTGGGCCCGTTGGAGCTTCTTACTTGGGCAATGTAACGTTTTCAACACAAAATGCAAGGCACTGCCAGAGCATATAATCTAATTTGGCAAAGTCTGAGCAAAGCACGTATCAGTGTGACGCCTGAATTTCTAGATAAATTTTGTGCAAGAGTGTGGAACTGGGATATGCCCCGACAAAAATTTTGTTCGAAATAAAAATATATTCGGGGGAGGGATGCAGCTGCCTCTTTCCGGCTTTGTATGCCACAGACGAAAAAATTGAGGGGGTGGCACGGGTCTGGTGTGCCACTTCCTGGCTATAGCCTATATGTCATACAGACAGACAGACAGACAGACAGACAGACAGATAGATAGATAGATAGATAGAAGATAGAGATAGATAGATAGATAGATAGATAGATCGATAGATAGATAGATAGATAGCTAGATAGATAGATAGATAGATAGATAGATGATAGATAGATAGTAGATAGATAGATAGATAGATAGATAGATAGATAGATAGATAGATAGATAGATAGATAGATAGATAGATTAGATAGATAGATAAGGAATAGATCACGAAAAAGAATATAGGTTAAATATCGTAGAGTTAGGTGCTACTTACAAGTCAACAAATAAATAAGTACACATATTTACGAAAGTGATTGTGTATACCTAAATAAGGCGTATCAGAAAGGTAGTGCCGTAGCAAGGGCCCATGCTCCTCTCTCTCTCCTCTGATTTTGTTTATGCGAAGCATTTTTTTCGAACTTCGGTGACTTTGACAGTATCTGTCTATATAGCAGCTTACGTTTAAGTGCTCTCGCCTGCACCCCTTAACTTAACCATTATTTGGATGGGAGGGTAAGGTGGATTGAAGAATATGAAGTGCTAGTCAACACATGAAAAATGTCACAATCCCGTCGTGTACGTCGTCAAACACTTCCCGCCAGACAGTGGCCCATACCCATGGGCGGGTATGTGCCGCTGCTATGCTGGTATGTGCCACAGGAGGTTGACACTTAGTATGTATACCCATAATCACGAGAACACACAAGGGCGATTTTAGCACGCGAACCTTAAGAAATACCCAACTTCAGTAGCGTCGACCCGATGAATGCAAAGAATAAATGCCACGGCCCCAGCTGGAATCGAACCCAGGCCTTCTGCGTGGCAGTGAAGCGTCTTACCACACAGCTACGCCATGTCTTGAAACTTCTTTTCAAATAGACGCTAACCTTCGTGAAAACGTCAGTGGTGGTTGCAGGGCTGCCCACCCAATTTTATAAACATTACATATGTACTCTTTTGATCCAACCGTCACGTCGGGTTAACATCAATTGTGGTTAGGTACTATGCACTGAAGTTCATTTTTGTAGCATTGGCCACGGCCAACATCATCGCGAGCATCAGCGCTTCATATCAGCTTCTGGTGCTGCTAATACGCATGATCGAGTTGGCGTAGTTGCGCAAGTGCAAACAACTGATTATGTGCGCATCTTCAACTCTTCAACATATGTCTGTACGTGTAACATTTCTGCATATATTAGCGTCACTTTATGACGTGTCGCTCAATAAAAAATTGCAACACGGTCACCTTTCTTCCGCATGCTTTGCATAACGTCAATTCTGAGGTACGTGGGATCTGCCATTTTTTTCTATAGCATCATCATCATCAGCCTGACTACGTCCACTGATGGAGAAAGGCCTCTCTCAAGTTCCGCCAGTCAACTTGGTCCTGTGCTTTCTGCTGCCAATTTATCCCCGCAAACTTCTTAATCTCATCTGCCCACCTAACTTTCTGTCTCCCCCTATCGCGCTTGCCTTCTGTGAGAATTGATTGATTGATTGATTGATGATTGATTGATTGATTGATTGATTGATTGATTGATTGATTGATTGATTGATTGATTGATTGATTGATTGATTGATTGATTGATTGATTGATACATATGTGAGGGTTATTGTCCCGAACCACTATATTATTATGAAAGACGCCGTAGTGGAGGGCTCCGAAACTTTCGACCGCCTAGAGTATTTAACGTGCAACCAAATCTGAGTACACGGGCCTACAACATTTCCGCCTCCATCGGAAATGCAGCCACCACAGCCACGGTTTGATCCCGCGACCTCCGGGTCAGCAGCCGAGTACCTTAGCCACCAGACCACCGCAGCAGGGCCCTTCCCTGAGAATCCAGTTAGTTACCTTTAACGACCAGCGGTTATGCTGTCTACGTGCTACATGCCAGGCCCATGTCCATTTCCTCTTCTTGATTTCAACTATGATATCCTTAACCCCGGTTTCTTCCCTAATCCACTCTTCTCTCTTCTTTCTTCTAAGGTATACCTACCACTTCTCTTCCATTGCTCACTGCGTCATCCTCAGTTTAAGCTGAACCCTCTTTGTAAGTCTCCACGTTTCTGCTCCGTAGCTAAGCACCGGCAATGTGCAGCTGTTATGTACCTCGCTCTTGAGAGATAGTGGCAATCTACCAGTCATGATATGAGAGTGCTTGCCAAATGTGCTCCACCCCATTATTATTCTTCTAGTTACTTGATCTCGTGGTTCGGCTCCGCGGTTATTACCTGTCCTAAGTAGACATAGTCTTTTACAACTTGAAGTGCATTATTACCTATCTCGAAGCGCTGCTCTCTTCCGAGGTTGTTGTACATTACTTTGGTCTTCTGCAGAATACTTTTAAGACCTACCTTTCCGCTCTTCTTGTCTAACTCCGTCATGAGAGTTGCGATTCGTCCCCTGAGTTACATTGCAATGCAATGCCATTGGAGAAGCGCAAGTTACTAAGGTACTCTTCATTACTCTAATACCTATCTGTTCCCGGGCATTCTAGGCCTCTGAAAACCTCCTGTAAGCACGTAGTACATAGCATTGGGGAGATTGTATCCCCTGGCCTTACCCCTCCTTGATTGGTATTATGTTGCTTTCTTTATCAAACACTATGGTAGCAGTTGATCCTCTGTAGATTTCTTCAAGGTTGTTTATATATGCTTCGTCGGCGCCCTGATTCCGCAGTGTCTGCATGACTGCTGATATTTTTACTGAATCAAATGCCTTCTCGTTATCTATGAAGACTGTGCATAGTGGTTGGCATATTCTGAGCATTTATCTATTACCTGATTGATTGTATAAATGGGGTCGATTGTTGAGTAGCCTGTTCGAAATACGCTTGTTCCTTTGCTTGATTGAATTCTAATGTTGCCTTAATTATTAGCAATTAACCTTGTATATAGCTTGTATACTACGGAGAGAAAGCTGATAGGCCTGTGATTTTTCAAGTCATTGTCCTCTCCTTCTTAAGTATTAGGATGATGTTAGCATTCTTCCAAGATTCTGGTACTCTTCCCGTAAGGAAATACCTCGTAAACAGCGCTGCTAGTTTTTCTAACAAAATGTGTCCTTCATATCTTTCAGCAGATCTGATATTACGTGATCCCCACCAGCAGCTTTGACTTTTTGCATGCTTCCAAGGCTTTTCTGACTTCTTCTATCATTACTGGTTGGGTGTCATCTGGACAAACGCTAGTTCTTATACAATGGTCCTGGTTGTCCCGGCTAATGTACAGATATTTGTAAAACTCCTCCGCTAAATTTACTATCCTATCCCACATGCATACGTCGATTTGCGATAGCATACAGAGCAACAAATGACATTCAACCACATCTGCCTGCCAGAGCCCCCTCTTCATTTCACAATGATCTCCACCCTCTCCCCCCCAAAAAAAAGAAGAAAATTCAACCTACACGCCTTGGCGTAGTTCACGTGACTTGTTGGCATGTCAGTTAGAAAAAGAAGAAGCCTTCGTTCCCGTCACGCGAACAGCCACGCAGGAGGAAGAAGAGGAGGCGCTGCTGCAGCGAATATTACTAAATATACGGACTATCAGCACCTAACATACCCCTGGAAACCTCAGTGGAGTCAATCTAAAAAGTTAGAAGTTATTTTAACCAAATTTCGATGTCGTGTCCCTCCATTAAACTTTTACTTGCACAGAGCTGGTCTGGCGATATCCCCCCTGTGTCCATTCTGTGAAGAAACGGAAACAATAGAGCATTACTTTATAACATGTAAAAACTATTCATTAATTAGGAAAAGACTTTTAATTGTTCCGTTTCAAGCAGTAGGTTTAAATTTAACTGCAGATAATGTTCTAAGTTTCGGTGCCTTTAGCTTGGGACATTG